GCACCTAGAGGTTTGGACCGATTCCCCAGGACTGGCTTCTCATCCCGAGCAGCCTTCTGACAGCTTCGGGGCCGGGCAAAGATGCCTGGAGGCCGAACATCGAGATATCCCGTCGTGACGTGTTGACGACGCGAGGATGTCAGGGGACGCCGAAGACAAGTAGAAGCAGAAAAACTGCACCAACAGAAAGTTTTGGCGCTTCGCGCGAATTGGATCTGCGCTGGACCCCCCTCCGCGCGCCAGGGGCGGCGCCGGAGGCGCCGCCGGGGGGCCCCAGCGCGGATCCAAGAAATCCGCGCGGAGCGCCGAAAGTCTGTGTTTCTAACCACATGTTTTTCTTCTTCGAGCGAGGAAGAAAAAGGAGGGGGGTCGGGGCTTCCTCAACGGGGGTTTAGCTAAACGGGGGCTCAGGCTTTTTCACATGCCCCCGTTCCCTGTGCCCCCGCCTACGGCGCCCAGGGCCCCCTAGAACGGGGGCGTAGGCCGAACGTGGACATTGGCGCTCCCCGTGCCCCCGTCTGCGGCGCCCCCGTCTCTGGCGCCCCGGGGGGGGAGGACGCGAGCCTGGCCGGAAGGACCTCGTGGCTCGCGGTGGGGGCGGGGGGGGCACGCCTGCGCCCGCGGGTCGGGCCGCCGCAGCCAGTGGCAGGCGCCTCCGACGCCTGGCGCGTCCAGGCGACGCCTCTCGCCCCTCTCCAGAGAGAGAGAGAGAGAGAGCGAGGGAGAGAGAGAGAGAAAGAAATAAAGAAAGGATTGAGAGAGAGAGAGAGAGAACAACAAACATCGAATAGAGGGAGAGAGAGAGAGAGAGATAGAGGCAACGACAGAGACAAGGAGAGAGAGAGAGAGAGACAGAGAAACTGGGAAGAAGAGAAAGGAGAGAAAAAAAAAGAGAGCGAGGGAGAGAAATAAAGAAATAAAGAAAGGAGAGAGAGAGAGAGAGAGAACAACAAACATCGAATAGAGGGAGAGAGAGAGAGAGAGATAGAGGCAACGGCAGAGACAAGGATAGAGAGAGAGAGAGACAGAGAAACTGGGAAGAAGAGAAAGAGAGAGAGAGAGAGATTGACAGTGAGAGGCAGAACGGGTGAGATGAGGAGAGAGCAAGGCAATCAGTGATCTATACATATATATATATATATACATATATATATATGTATATATATATATATATATATATATGTATTCCTATTCTCATTTTTTTTTATTACCCGGGACCCCCCCCCCCCCGGACCCCCCCTCCTAAACCGGATCCTCCACCAAAGGACGGCCGGGACGCCCTTTCGGACGGTTCGGGGGCCCCCTGGACGCCCTTGGAAAAGGTTCGCTGGCCATTCCGGGCCTCCCAGGGTGCATTGACAGGCCTTGCGAGCAGACTCAAGGCGATTAGAAGGGTCATCGGAGAGGCGCAAAATAGACCCAAGGCAGCACACGGGCGCTTCAAGAGGCCCCCAAAACGCCCCAAAAGGCTGTTCAGAGAACCCCAAAGCAGCAAAAAACGCCCCATTCCCTCGGGAAAATAAACATGTTTTGCATACCCGCTTTGTTGGCCTTTGCAGCGTCCAATTCCGGCCCGATGGGCCACCGATATCGCCCCAAGACGGCTCAAGAGGCGCCCCACATGGCTTCACGACGGCCCACGAGGGCCCCAAGACTGCCCCAGAAAGCCTCGGACTGCCCACAAAAGACCCAGACGCCCCAAAAAAGCTCCCAAGAGAGACCCAAGAAACCCACGGGAGATCCCCAGGAAGGCCTTCGGAGGCCCCCAAGAGGCCCAATATGGCTTCCGAAGACTTCTGGAGGGACCCAGCTACCCACAACGGCCCAAGAAGGCCCCAAGACGGCCCAGGAAGGGCCCAGGACGGCCCCCAAAAAACACCAAAAAACCTAAATGCGGTTCTCCTGCGAAGTGCATCGAGCTCACCCGACGCTCTTCGTTCCACGCTTCAGACTCGCGGTCCCCATTCCTAGATCGAGAGAGACAGGCAAGGGATACAGATTCGAATTTCCACGATCCAAGATTTCCTGAATGTCAGGGAGCGACCACAAATCGATTCGTTCCGACCTATGGCGAGTTCTTCGGCGTGTCATGGGAAGACTCCTTACTTCCTCAACGGATGAGCTCAACACCCGGAGGAGGCGGAAGAGGAGGTATGGAGGACAGAATGGGTAGGAAGACCCCTTCGAATTGGCAGATCAACAACCAAACGCAACTCCTCTCCATACCTTCCCCCATGACGGGCGGAACACACAGGAGGAGGTCAACGGGGGGAGCTAAGACATGGAACGACGATGAATAGGAAAGCATGCCTGCGCACAAGCGTGCAAGTGCATCGAACGAGGGCGGTGTCAACAGGCGCCGGTCGCCCGTGCAGACCCTCAAGTTTCTATGTTACCACAAGTGATGATTGATTGTTTTGCCAGGGAAGCGTCTGGAACAAGGCGCATGGCGCGAAGCGCCAATGCAGTCTTGTATATATATATATACGTATATATATGTATATATATATATATACAAGACTGCAGTGGCGCTTCGCGCCATGCCCCTTGGTCCTTGGAGTTTGGTATGCAGGCGGAAATGGCAGGAAGGTCAAGCCAACAATTTAGCGATAGCTCCTTGCTGCCGTTTCTGGCATCGCCGTGATAATAATGTTGCTCGTTGTCCTTCCTCCACGCTTATTTTTCCTCGTTCTCGCCAGACCCTGGGCATTCTCCCCATCCTCCTCAGCTCTTTTTGCGGAAGCTCCTCCTTGGAGAGCCTCTGGGGGCCTCACCAAAGTTCTCAGGCTTTCTTAAAGCCTTCTGGAGGCCTACTGGGTGTGTTCTGGGGGCCTCTGGGGCTTCCGAAGGCCAACCTGCCTCTAACCGCGGTCTCCCTGAACGCCCCAGTCACGATTTGGAATGCTTCGGAGGGTGTCTTGGGGTCATCTTGGGCCGCCATGGTGCTCTCTTAGGGCCATTTTGGACCCCTGTTGTGCTGTCTTGGGGCTCTCTTGGACTGCCTGGAAGCCCTTTCGGATGGTTGTGGGGCGATTTTGGAGCCTCCGAGGCGGCTTCGGACGCCTAGGAGACCGCCGTCTTGGAGCGTCGGGAAGCCGAAAAGAGGAGAACCCCAACTGCACCAAAAACCTACATAGAATCAATGATTTTTCCCTCTTGGGGCCTTCTTCGGGGTGCTCTTGGAGGCCTCTTGGTACGTTTTGGAGCGATCTTTCGGGGTACGACGGCTACTTGGAGCGCTCTTGTGCTGTCTTGGGGGTCTCTGGGACGTCTCCGGTGACCCCCCTGATCGCCCTGGGTGTGCTGCGAAGGCTTGGCAAAACGCCCTGCGAGGCCCAGGGGGCCGCTTCGAGGCCCGTCCGGAGGGTCCCAAAACTGCAGATCCCGGGGGTCCGGTTTTAGGGGGGGGGGGGGGGGGACGGGTTTTCCCCCCGCCCGGGCTTCTAAAAATATAGGATGAGGAATATGTGTGTATATATATATATATATATATATATATATATATATAGATGTTCATCTATAATCCATTTTCTATGTTTTCATAATCTGGGATCCTGCGACCTGCCCCCCTTAACGGGACCCCTCCGGATCCTTGGCCCCGGGGGCACCCTGGACGCCCTTGCAGACGGGCCCCTGTGCTTTCCGGGGCTCCTGAAGCCCTTGCTGGGCCTAGGCAACGGGCCCAAATCGGTGAGGAGGGCGGCCAGACGGCCCCGCGAGAGCCCACAGAGGCCCCAGACACCCAACAGACGCCCGAAGACGACCCAAAGAAGACCCTCAAGAGGCATTCGAAAGGTAAAAACAATGATTTCCGACCGATTTTGCATGATTTTGGGAATGCCCAGTTCTTCGATCTTCCGGGCGTCCGAGACTGCCCAGGAGGCCAGAGCATCGCCCCAAATTTTACCAAGAGGGCTTCCAGGCAGTCCACGAGGAGCCCCAAGACTGCCCAACAGGGTCCCAAGATGGCCCGAAGAGAGCCCCATGACGGCTCAAGATGGCCCCAAGACGCCTCCCGAATCATTCCAAATCGTGACCCGGCCGTTTAGGGAGTCCGGGGTTGGAAGCAGGGTGGCCCGGGGAAGCCTCCAGGGGCCCACAGAAGGAGCCCAATGGGCTTCCAGGCCCCAACAAACCATTAAAAATTCTTCGTGCGAATTACAAGAGGCTCTCCTACCACCCCCCAATTTCAATGTTCAATGCGGTGCCGATTTTTTTTTCGAACTTCGCCGGTCGCGCGATCAACGTTGAAATGGGTGGCCGGGGGGCTCACCAGACACCAGTTGCTTTTCGCACGGGGTTGTAGGATGAGCCTCCACAAAGAGAGCTGAGGATGGCGGCGAATTCGCAGGGCAGGGGGAGGATGAGGAAGATAGCTTGGCAGAGCTCTGGCCACGACGGTCGGCCACATGGGTGATGCTACAAGGCTGAAGTCGGGCGTGTCCGTGTCCCTCTTGAATTGGCCAAAAATAAATCAAGAGACCATTTTTTGAGTATACTTTGTTATTTTTGAATATTTTTGGGGTATCTTAAAGTTTTGGTCCAACATCCCCCTGTAGGGGGGCATGCCCGACCTAACACAAGGCAGGGGGCGGCGGTGATGAATCGCCGTAGGCGTCTTCGATAACATCCACGATCGTCACCCAAGACGGCCCAGGATAGCTCCAGGATGGCCCAAGACGACCCGAGAGGCCTCCAAGACAGGCCTCTTCTTCGTCTCCCCCTCCTCCTCCTGCAGAAGCTTCCCTGGGAGACCCCGCAAATCTTCCAGGAGATGCCTGGCGAGAGCAAAGCGGAGGAGTGGATTACGAGCAAGCAACAGGCAGGAGGGAAACAAACACACAGACACAATGAATCGTCGATTCCCCAGAAAATATGGGAAACTATGGGAAGTGGGGGGGGGAAGACGAAAACCCCAAAAATATGGAAAAATATGGGGAGTATGTTGATGTGTGTATTTATTTGTGTGTCCTGGGGCCCCTTCAAACAGGGAGGAAGGCGCTTGCGACGGCGTCGTTAAACTTGGCCAGGTCCATCTGCTCCAGCGCCTCTCCGCACCCAGTCATGTGCTGCATCTTGGGGGGGGCCTCGTCCTTCCCATCGGGACGCTATTCGCGTCGAGCCCGCGTCGAATACACGTCGAATCTGCGTCGAATCCGCGACGAGTCCGCACAGGTCCGCGTCGGACACCGCGTCGGACGGCGTAGGATACAACAAAGGACCGCCATTATTCCAGGACAGACGAGGTCCCCAGAAGATGCAGCGTAACCAATCAACACCGGCCGAACTACATTCAGGACATGCTGGCCTGCTGATGGTACTGCTGCTCTGATGCCTCTGCTGCTGAACCCCCTCCTCTCAGGCCCCCGCATTCTGCATCCCCACCTCACGCATGGTATCACTTCATAGAGGTCGCGAGAGCAAGTCTAGTCGAAGATTGACGCGATACTTCGTTCAAGCAAGGTTGAATACAATAACACTGCAAATCCTACGCAGCCGCTCATGATCATGCCAAGCGCTGAACCAAAACGCCGTTTCTACTCCCTTCCGCTGAGGCACCCCATGGGAGTACAAAGGCTCTGACATTGAAACCTTTCGCTGCGGCACCCTTGCCCCTGCCTGGGAACTGCACGAATACACTTGGGACACAGTGCGGGCTCCCCGAGGAACGGCCTCTGGATGAAAGACCTGGAGGCCCGCGGTCGACAAGTGGCTGGCCCATACGAGGGGGCCCGCGGGCCATCACGCCGCCTTCACATTGCGGACGCACGTTGGGTGAAGAAACTCTTCCAGGGTGCCAAGCCCTTCGCGAGCCCAGAGCTGCTGCCCTTTCAAAACGAGCAGCTGGTACCGTCAAAACCGTAGCAGTGATCACGCAAGGTGAGGGTGCAAAGCATCTGGGCTTGCACGCTTGCCATGCATCCGCCACCGTGTCACGAGGCACGAGCTGGAGTGCCCTCAGCTCCTTTGTAGTTCTCGGTCGTCGATCCCCGAAATTCTTATTTTTTTCTGGAATTCCTGACGTGCATCCCGCAATTTCCGAGCGCTTCTCGCATTACTTGTTCGGAGCCACGAGCGCCCCAAAACTGGCCAAGAGGGTCCCGAGAGGCCTCTGACCTACAACCCAGGCACGGTGGCCAGTAGATCAGCCGCCCCCTGTGGTCTTGCCACGGGGATGCACCTCGCGCTAGTGGCTGTGCTGTCTAAATATTCCCAGTGGGCATTCGGCCCAACCCGCCAGAGGCGCCTCTGGTAGCCGTCCTGGCAGCAAGGCCTTGCCCAGGTCGCATGCGGTCTGCGAGTCGCGGGCCTCGCTGAAGCGCACCACGAGCTGCGCCTCGGGGCGGGTCGGAGAGCAAATAGGACGCACCGGGCGACACCGCCGTGAACCCCTGGCGAAGGCGTCAGCACGAGGAGGATCGATGAGCGGTGTTAGCAAAACTGCTGAGGACATTTGCTGGCACCGACGATGGCGGAACGATGTGCGGTCTAGACGCTGACATCATGAACATCTTGGGTTTGCAACGGGCTCGCTGTTCTTTCAGTCCTTCCATGGTCGTTCCTCTGAGTTCCTCTAGCGCTCCCGGTGCCCCCACGCGCCTTCGGTGGCAAACAAGGGTGTCGTGCCCCACTTAGCGCTCCTTATAATACTAGGTTGCCTGTGCAGCCACCGTGCTATCCTGTGTTGGGTCCTCGCTTTGAAGAGACAGCGCCCCGCGTCACCTCCCACCCGCCCCTTGCCCGTTGCCTCCCTCTTCCCACCACCATCATCATCACTATCATCACCATCATCGTCATAGTACAGTGCGGCCCATTTTGGTACACCCTTCACACATTTCGTGGCTCCACATGGGAGCTCCATCGAAGCCCCTTGGGGGGGGAAGGGGGAAGCACATGCGGTCCCCCATCCCATGCTGGGACACCCTTCACACGTTTCGTGGCCCCATGGGGAGCTCCACCAAGGCCCCCAAGGGAGAAGGGGGGGATCATGCGGTCCCCCAGCCTAATTAGTTGGGCAAACCCCTCACACGTTTCGTGGCCTAGCTCCACGGAAGGCCCAAATGGCAGGGTTCGCACGGCTTCACCGCACCCATTTCCATTCTGGCACGCCCAATTGCATGTTTCGCGGCCCTCGTGCGCGCTGAGCATGCCAGCCAGCCAGCCCAGGTTTCATCCATTTCGCGGCGCGCTAGTCTTGGGGAGGGGGCCATACCCTGGGTTACTCGCAGCTGCAGATGGTTGGGTGTTTCCCCAGGCCATGTTTCCAGCGCCTGGACTGAAGTTACATGTTGAGGACATTTGCCAGCGCCGACGATGGCGGGATGATGTGGGCGAACACCTCATTGACTTTCCAATGAGCAGCCAACTGATCGCGGTGCACGATCAAAACTGAAGCTTTCGAGTGCGACAGAGGGTCCTGGAGGAGGTGTCCTGATTTGTTGTCCCTATTCCTCCTCCTCCTCCTCATCCTCCTCCTCCTCGCTGTCGCAGGTTTTGTTGCCCCCCAGGCCCTCTCGGGGCCCACGGGGCTGCCAACACACAGCTCCGACTGAACAAAGCTGGCTCTGAAGACATCCGGTGCGCCGAAGAGGGGAGCCCAGGAAGCCGGGAGGCCAGCGCCTCATGGTCCGAGGCAGGTGCGCGGACGCAGGGGAGGCCAGGGAACGTGCTGATGGCAACAAGGGGGCCACGAGAGACCTCTAAGACGTGCTGGCCCGGCCACGAGCTCCCCCCCCCCCGCACCCGCATCCCCTTCGTGGACGCCCCGGGGGCGAGCCGCGGCGGAGTGCGGGACCCGCCTCCGCCGTGACACGCCCCTCCCTCGTGCTGAGGGCCCGGGGCGCCCCTTGCACGGAAGCCTGCCGCACCTCCCCCGCCTGCGTATCTGACCATCGGCCCTGGGAGATGGTCGGCCCTCTTCGTCGGTCCTCTGGCGGTCCTCGGCGGTCGTCGGTGGTCTCCAGCGATCTTCTGCGGCCTCCGGCGCGGGAGCGGGAGGGCTGCGTCCTGGAAACGCACATGGCTGGACTCACATGTGGAACATCTGGCGGTCACGCGCTGGATACACATGCGGAACAAGGCCTACACTTGAGCAGGGACCGACCGACCCGGTATTCTCACGGGCCTACCACGAGATGTTTTTAGAATCCAATAATGTTCGAATCACAAAAACAGTTTTCTTATAACATAAGCCCGATGTGTTAATAAAGAGAATATCAGCCAGAACTGTTCTAAGAACATTGGTGCAACCCGCAAAAGGTTCTTAGAACATTCTTTGGTGGGCCTGTAGGCGAGACTGGACGCTTCGCCACTGCCTGATACACGACCACTAAAGGACCGAACGCTGGAAAGAAATCCGGCCGCACGCATCCAGCTCTCGCCGGCCGCGCGGCGGGGGCGCGCGCCCCGCAGAGCTGGGGCGCGCTGAGGCGCCGGCCTGGCCGCGCCTGCACTCCTTGCTGCCGTTGCTGCTGCCTTCTCCTCTTCTTTAGAGGTCAACAAATCCACCCCCATAGGAACCACCCCGACACGCGAAGTCGTTTAGTAGACGCGCCCAAAGAAGTAATCAAACAGGACAGGACTGTTCAGTAAACGCCCAGGCCCGTTTAGTAAACGCCAGTTGTTGGGTCTGGGTGGTTTTTCCTCCCTTGATCCTCATCCCTCCCCTGCTGCGGTCTTCCTCCTCCTCCTTATCCACGGGGCAAACGGGTACCCAGCCCTCGCCCAAGAGTCATGTGTATCTAAAGATCGTTGTTTTATCCGTTGGGGGTAACACGTGATACGGGGCGGCGGGGGGAGGGTGACGGTAACGACGGCTGGCGTACACTCCCCGAAGGCGCGCCATCAACACCGGCGCAACAACTGCCTGCGTGCACCACAACAGGCGCATTTACAGAAAAGTCTGCGTGGACCACGGCGTCTGTCCACAACTGCACGCACCATGGCGCCACATCGCCTGTGTACACAGTGTACACCATAGCCTCTCAGTGCACCTGAGCACCCGCGTGCGCAACAGTGCGTGCACTGGATCGTTTCTGTACACCACGGTGCCTGCGCACATCACAGCAGTCGTTGCACCAAACCGTGCCCGCACACCACAATGCCTGTGTGCACTAGAGCGCTTGTGTACACCGGAGTGCCTGTCGAACCCACAACACTTGCGTTCACCACAACACCTGTGAACAACGTAGTGCTTCCGTGCACCATAGCGCCCGCGCGCCCCACGGCGCCAAGTGCGCCAGCGGGAACCTCAATAACTTGCGAAAACTACGTTGCTCTCGTACATCATGGCGGAACGGCGCAGGCTTCTTGATTGAACCCGCTGCAGGCCGAGCGCCGTGGGACTGGAAAGTCATTCACCGCAACGTGCCTTCCAGCCGCCTCGAACGCCATTCACCAGAACGTCCACGATGGATTCAAAAGCTCAACCGCGGTGATAGCCCCCCAACAGCGCATGCACATAGGCGTTCTTACTTCCCAAACAATACAAGCACTACGACGCATTACCTGCGCCACCTTGGGAATTCCATGGGTGCCGACACTTGTCGCGCCACAGAAATCGGCTACACGCAAGAGTGACCCTGCGCAAGAGTGACCTTTGGTGCGCGGTTTTTGGGGACCGCGGGGGGGCCAAACGCAAGCGCGCAAGCCGCTGCTATCGCTTCTCTTTCGGCCATCTGAGGGCCCATCTGTGCCCGCACCAAAGGTCACTCCGGCGAAAGGTCACTCTTACACCTGAAATTGCATCGCATCGCCAAAGCATCCAGTAGAATAAATCACTCACTGTTTGGGGTCTACGTGCGCGAACATATTACTTTGCAATGCGTCCGTCATGGCGCCATTTCCCATGTCGGGCCCAAGAGCACGAACCGACAGCGCATGTGTAATCAAACAAGCCGTTCCGGCCTGCCCCGCCTCCCTCGCCCCCTCCCTCCTCCCTTGCATGAAGCGTCCTGCATTAGGATGAGAAAGACGAGGACGACGAGAGGAGGAACGTGACAGCGACGACGACGACGCCAACGACGACGCCAACGACGCCGACGACGACGACGACAACGACGACAATGCCTGTGCACCTTCGAAGCACTCTGGGCCATGTCAGTCGTCGCCGTCGTCGTCCTCCTCTTCCTCCTTCTCCTCTTACTCCTCCTCCTCCTCCTCCCCCCCACTCCTCCTCTCTTCCCCGTCCTCCTTCTTTCCTTTAAACTCTGAACACCTCCTCCCTGTCGCACCCCGAATGCAGTCGGAGGGACGGGCTAGGCGTTTCACCTAAGACTTCGCCTTAGTGCCGCGCGCATTCGTTTCAAGCATTCGCAGGAGCTTCACATATTGAGGACATGTGGCTTTCAAAATGTGGCCATCGCCTTACCGCCGCGCACACTCGTCTTAAAAACTTGCAGGATGTTCACGGATTGGGAGCGGGTCGTTTTGAAAATGTGGCTCTCGTCTTACCGCCGCTCACATTGGTTTTAAACAGTTGCAAGATCTCCGCGTATTAAGGGCGGTTCCTTTTCAGCATGTGGCCCCATGAGCGTCGCGCACATTCTTGTCAACATCTGCAAAGGCCTCACGGATTGAAAACGCTCCTTTTCGAACTGTGGCTCTCGCCAGAGTGCCGCGCACATTCGTTTCAAACATTTGAAAAGGCTTCACTGGTTCTCATGGGAACCTTCCAGGAAAGGCGCGTTGGAACGATTCAGGACTCTCAGGGCGCAACAATCAGGTTGATACGCTGTGTTGAAGTCCAAGGAATGGCGTTCGGGCGGGATCCAGGATCGTCAAGACTCAAGACGCAACAGTCAGTTTGACTCGTGGAGTTGAAATCCTGAGAATGGTGTTGTCGCGCGCGTCAAGATTTTTCACACGGCTGTCCCCCAACGGGGCACTCCCCTCAGTGGAACTGAATCCTTGCAGGGGCCTGTGAAGAGTGAGCTTGGAGGGAGGATGTACTCCAACATCGTTGATGAGTCTTGGGTTTGCACTGGTCACCTTCTCCTCTTCCTCGTCCTCCCCCTCCTCCTCCTCCTCCTCCTCCTCCTCCACCTCATGAGGACTCTTAGATGGTGAAGCTGCCAAGATTCACGCCTGTGGCTGGCTCCCAGGCGTTATGTTATAGGGGGTCGGGGGGGTCTGGGGAGTGGTAACATGTGGTAACACGTGGCCGACTTCGGAAACCCTCAAGCCAAAAGTGCTGTCATCTTCTGGGGGCGCATCTTCTACTTCCGCTGCCTTCGGCTACCTTCCGCCGGCGGAGGCGACCTCGTTTTACTTCCGCCGCCTTCCGCCGGCCTTCCGCCGCCTTCCGTCGAGGACGAGATGGCAACTCCTTCGATCCTCGAAGGCAAGGCGCTTTTCGGAACGCCCCATGTGTTGTCCCCAGAACCAGCAAAAGAGCAGTCTCCTAGCTTCCTGGCAACTCCTGCTCAGAGCCCCGCGGCAATTCGATCTGCTTCCAGAAGCCCTGGGGGGGTGGGGGAGGGGGGCGTCCAAGAGGGGGGGGCGCAAATCATGGCCGGCGGCATGTGCGCGGCTCTTGGGGGGGACCAGGGACGTAATGAAACAAGAAGAGGCGCCATTAAATCTGGGGAGATATCATGGCCCACGCCATGATATCCACCCCCCCTAAGTCATCAACCCCCCTCTTGGCCGCCCCCGACCCCTGGGGGGGGTCCCGGAGGTTGTGACCACCCCCCCGGGACGGGGAGCACCCCGCCCCTGGGAGAAGCTTTCGGTTCCAGAGCGTCAGCGTCGTCGCCACCATACCCGTCGGTGCTCGTCGTCCACCTGCAGGGCCAGCGGCACGGCCTTCGCAGCTACAGCTTCCAGAAGCTGGAGCCGTGGAAACAACAAAAGACTGCTCCTGCCGCCTCTTGCCAGCGCCGCCAGGGGTCCGGTCCTCGGCAAGTGCTCTTAGTTCCGCAGGTCCCCCCATAGACCTCTCCAGGGATGCACGCTTTGACCGGTAAGCTCGAGGTGGATCTGGCTCCGGGGAGGGCCAAGAGGGCGAAACATGCCCCCGGGGGATCCTCGAGTTTAGAAAATCGAATAACTAGAAAACCTGACACCGAAAGCCGCGATCCTCGAACATCGATCCGTGAAAACCTCGATCCTCAGCCCCAAAACCTCGAACCTCAATCCTCTTGGGGGGTCATGCTCTGGGCCGGTGGCCTTCTTGGTGCCCCTCAGGAGCACCACCTCCTCCACGTGTCCAAGCATCTTGAGCAAGCGCAGGATATCCCCACCCTCGTTGGTCCCTCCTGGCGGTCATCGGCGTCGCTGATCCTTTCCGTGTCCCTCTTTCCACACATGGCCCTGCATACAGAGGATCCGACATGATCTGTTCAAGAAGGCTAATTTTCATTGGCGGCGAGCCCAGGGGGGAAGTGAGAAGGGGCGGGCCTTCTCAAGCGCTCGAAGTCCCCAGGCCTTCTGGCAAATTTCCTGAGCCTCCCGCGGCGACGCAGAAAACTTCTCAGAAGGCCCGAGGGCTTCTGAGGAGCCCCGCCGCCTTCTGAGAAAACCTTCTGCTTCTCACTTCGCCCCCTCGCTCACCGCCGATTTCAGGCCGACAGCACCACGCGTGAAGTGCGGCACGCTCTGAGCACGGATTCTTGTTTTGCCCGCCTCCGCGGCCGCCAGGTCACGCTTCCATTCCTTCGGTGCGCAATCAGCTCTGCCGCGTCCCAGCTGCTGCATTGCTGCTGGACGCTTCGTTCCCAACGTCGCTGGTGAGAAGACGTTCTCAGAAGGCCCGGTGGCGGGCTTATCAAATGGCTGTGATCCTTGAGGATGCGCCCTCCCCATCCCAAAAAAGTTGTCCCTCGTGCAGCATGGTGGCTTGCGCTTGGCTTGCATGTTCGATGGAGCATCGCTTGCCTTCGGCGCTGCTGTTGCTGGCCTCCGGTTTGTAACCCTAAACAGCTTTAAACTCATACACAGCTTGCTTCCGCTGGCGTTTCGTGGCCTTTCGTGGCCTTTACATTGAGCCATTCGTTCGCCGTCTGTTTGTTTTCAATATGATGGCCGCTGGCTTGTATCGCAATATGCAACTACGTTAGATGTAGATTGCCTGTAGCTTGGTGCTACGTTGCTTTCCCCCCTTCTTGAGCTTGCGTGAAGCTTGCTTTCCGCAGGTTTCGTGGTTACCATCGTGCGCTCGGGCAGCTTTTATATAGTATTCTACATCGCCGTATTATGATCGCCATTCAGTCCTATGCCATATGCTCCTCAAACTAACATTCCGACTGAGTATTGCCTGGCCTTCAGCGTGCTGACAGCTTGCGTTCTGAACTACCCCTCGCTTCCCTGAGGGCTGCTTTCGACAGTGCCCTTAGCTGCGCCTCCCCCAGCGCCCACCTTCCCTGCAGGCTGCTGTGGGGCTGCGGATAGACATCCATTCTAGCCTTGGGTCGGGCGTGTCCCACTACAGGCAGGCTTTGGACGAAACATTAAAAACAGACAGAACTATTCAAGAATAGTCAGGACATCGCCCCCAGACTATACTCTTGACTGTTTTTGAATTTTCCCCCCTGCAGAAGGACAGGCCCGACTTAAAGCTCGGGCCAACGGCATGGCCGGGACTCACGTGCGGAACCTCCGGAGGCCCCGCGCCGCGCAGGACATGCACGCGCGGCGGACCGGCCGAGCGCCCGAACGACGTCTGGCCACCTGTCTGTCCAGCGCTCGCCCAGGCCGAGCGCGTCCCGTGCACGGTCGGGCTGCTGCAGGAGGGAGCGATCAACAAGGAACGAAGACCAGGTTTGGCCCCGGAAGCGCCTGCATGCACGAGGAGGGCTAGAGGAACAGCCACGGAGGGACCACAGGAACACCGAGCCCCTTTCGAACCCACTTTCGAACCCAGAATGTTCCGTCTCTCAGCGCCTTGACTGTACTCAGATGCTGCGGGAAAAACAATACCCACGCCGCTACTGCATGGACCTCTCCTGGGGTGCGATCTGACCAGGGCTGCGACGCGACTCCGGCCGCTGCGACGGGGCACAGGCAGCGCAAACGGCATCTTTTCCTCGCCTGAGCTTCCTGGTCTCTGTTAGGGGAACGAGCAATGACATAAACAATAAAACTCGGAGGTCCGCGCAGACTTCTCGCTTCGGCGCTGGACCCCCCTCCCTGGCGCGCGGAGCGCGCCAGGGGCGGCGCCGGAGGCGCCGCCAAGGGGGGTGCAGCGCCGATCCGAGAACTCCGTGCGGGGACCTCCGAGTTTTGATGCTTGTGCCATTGTTCGCTCCCCCGGTTGTAGCCGAGGCGGGATCGCTCCCGTTTGCATGCCGCGGAGGAGGAGGAGGAGGAGCAGGAGGAGGAGGAGCAGGACGAGGAGAGCGCCTTGCGAGGGGCGCTCAGTCCAGGTGCGCGGAGGCCCTGCTTGCATGCCGCGGGGCGGGAGCCACGGCCGGGGCCGCGCCCAGCGCCGCGCGCCCAGCGAGGCTCCCCTCAGCTGCAGGGGAGGGCGCGCGCTCGCTCGGCGGGCCTGCCGCCGCCTCGGGCGGCGGCTCTCTGGGCCCCGTCGGTGCCGCAGGGGCGCGAGCCTCGCGCGCGGCGGCGGTGGCACGTCGGAGCGTGCCGCCTGCGACGCGACCCCGCCGGCACCTCGGGCGGCGGCTCTCTGGGCCCCGTCAGTGCCGCGGGGGCGCGAACTTCACGTGCATCGGCAGGGGCACGTCGAAGCACGCCGCCTGCGACGCGAAGCGGGCGGCGTGGGTATCTCTGATGCTGGTGGCTCCCGGCAGGCCCTGCGCCAGCTGGTCTTCCGCGGCACCGGGGATCTCGAGGTCGCTGTCGTCGTCCTCGTTGGCTGGCTTGTCTGACGGAGGCTCCACGAGGTTGTTCGGATCTGCCCTGACCTGCTTTTTTGTCTGGAAGTTGTACCAGTACGGCGCTCCAGCAGAGTCGTAGAAGATGTACCACGGCGTGAGCGGGTACGCCCGTTCAATGTGGTTTTGCATGATGCCCATCATGCGATCGAGATTATTAGCGAACAACTTCTTGCTGTAGGCAGCCTTACGGAGGCCAAACAGCGTGAAATTCTGCCTCGCTGCAGACCTACGCATCCTCGCCACGGCCTTCGTGCTGAGCACCTCGTCAGTCTGAAAACAAACGTACGAGGCCTCGCACTCAGGGAATTCCGCACAAAAAGTCCTCTGTGGGAGCCCGACGCAATGCTTCTGCCGCTTGCCGCGGGCATGTGTCGTCTTGAAACAATTGTAACAGAAACTCTCGACGCAATCCTGGCAGCGCACGTCAGCTGCTCTGGCCTCGCACTCGGCACACACGGACTGCTCGAAGAAGACAAGGGGCACATCTTGTCTCTTGCCAGTGGAGTGAGTCTCGACGGCTGCCGCGGAACAGAACACGTCGTGCGAGCCAGTGGATATCACATCCGCGAGGGCCGTCTGCGTCTCGACGCAGTATAACAAACCAGTCGGGGAGATCTTCTTCATGAAGCCCACCCTGTCGAGCTCCAAATTCACCATCAGCGACTCCACGTCAATGCAGCCATCTATAGTCAGGTTGGACATCCCGATCTCCCTCATTCGAAAGTACGCGTCCTCAATGGTGGTCTTTACCCTGGGGATTAGGTAGGGCTCGTCCCCAGGGTTGACGTCCATGAGGTCCATAATCTCCTCGACGAGGGCAGGGGTGGTGATTACCCGGCAATCCTTCTCGCCCAGTATGGCCAGGTAGACCAGGTGCTTCACCCGGTAGTGAGGATCCAGCCGCTTCATCTTCAGCTCCTGCTCCACGTGCACGAGGCGCTCTGCGAGCTTGGTATGGGCTTCGACTATCGGGTGCCAGGAGCGCGCCTCCTGCGTGTGCATGTAGACGTACTCCAGGTCATTCCCGGAGACAGCACATGCATAGCCCTCGTCCCGAAGGGCGATGAGACAATCGCGGATCACCCAGCGGAAGTCCGGGTACGTGTTCACGTCGAGCCCGAGCTTCTCCTCCATGGCCGCCACCACCTCGGGGGTGAACGACATCTCCTCCTTCGCCTGCGGGCGGGACTCATAGCTGGAGCTGGGCCGCACTGGAAGCTTGATTAGCTGTGGCAGATCGGGGTCCGAGTAGGTGCGCTGCACCTTCGGCTTGGACGACACATCCGCCATGGCCGCCGCGGCCGGCCGGCTGCCCAGGGGCTGCTGCTGGTATCCGCTCGGCGGCAGCGCAAGCCCGCCCGCCTCCACCGAGAGGATGGGTCCAAAACGAGGCCCTGGCCCCTCGCCCACTGAGGTCTTGAGCCGAGACAGCGGCAACGACCAGCCTCTATCTCTCTCTCTCTCTCTTTCTCTCTCTCTCTCTCTCCTCCCTTCTCTCCACGATGTGCTTTGTGCGAGCCTGCCGTCTGTGGGTAGACCAAAAGGTACCGACACCGCTACTTCCCGGACCTCTGCCAGGGTGCGGTCTGACCCGAATTTCGAAGCAAATCCAGCGGTGGCGACGACGGCCTCCGAGGAGGCCCGAAACAGGGAAAACAGGCGGAGGGTAGAGGTATGGGTACCCTTTCCTCTTCCGAGCCTGAGTCTCTCTTCCTCGCCCTCCCCCCTTCCTCCCAAACGACGAAAGCAGGACGAGGACAAACTCGGATGAGGGCATACGTCGGGAATCTGTGAGAGCTCGCGGGCCTGCAGGACGGACGTCTCGAGCGCCGCGGCCGCCCCGGAAGGCCCACGGGCGCGCTCGGAGAGCGCCCCGAGACGCTCTGGAGTCATGCAGCCTCATCCCAGGCCCTGGGCCTGCCTGACGCCCCTTGCCTCCACCTCCTCCTCCTCCTCCTCCCTCTCCTCCTCCTCCTCCCCCTCCTCCTCCTCCTCCTCCTCCTCCTCCTCCTCCTCCTCCTCCTCCTCCTCCTCCTCCTCCTCCTCCTCCTCCTCCTCCTCCTCCTCCTCCTCCTCCTCCTCCTCCTCCTCCTCCTCCTCCTCCTCCTCCTCCTCCTCCTCCTCCTCCTCCTCCTCCTCCTCCTCCTCCTCCTCCTCCCTCCTCCCCCTCCTCCCCCTCCTCCCCCTCCTCCTCCTCCTCCTCCTCCTCCTCCTCCTCCCTCCTCCTCCTCCTCCCTCCTCCTCCTCCTCCTCCTCCTCCTCCTCCTCCTCCTCCTCCTCCTCCTCCTCCTCCTCCTCCTCCTCCTCCTCCTCCTCCTCCTCCTCCTCCTCCTCCTCCTCCTCCCAAACCACCCCAGACACCCGAAGACCCGAATCTCGGGTTGGGGGGGGAACGGGCTTCCTGTGCTTTCCAGTGTTCCCCGAGCCCCCACCCCCACTGGCAATGGAGGGCACACCGGGGCCTCTGGGTTGAGTTGGGGTGGCTTGGTGGGCGGTGACCCTCATTGCGGCGCGATCCTCCGACCCCATCTACTACGACCCCATCTGGGAGGCCTAGATCTCCCTCCTCAGGCTCACGGGGGTGGCCTGCGGCCGACCGGATAGCTCAGCCCACGCGCTGCGACATGCCTGCGCTGTCCTGCTCCAGGCCAGGGCCTCGCGGAAGCCAGGACGCCCGGGGCCTCACGCCACGTCTTGCTCGCGGGCTGGGGGGCAGCTGGACCCGTGCAGGCGGGAACGCCAGCCTGAGCTACGTCCAGCGATCTGGGGCTGGGGGTGTCAACGGGCGATTCGCATAGGCCTTCCTCTGGAACAGTGTGCTGATCAGGGGTGCGAGCAACAAGCCGGGCACAGACGGGGCTGGACGTGACGCCGAATCAAAGTGCTGGGTGGACACGTCTAATTATCGCGTGGTTCTCGCTTGCATGAGCATGGTGCCCACACAGCAGCGTACAAACTCAAAGACATGTTGGCGTACAAGCTCAATGGCACGTCGTTCGACTCGCATCGAAAAAAGCGCAGGCTTCAATCTGCCACCGTGCCCCCTGGCACATTGAGGCGTGGTAGGATGCCAAGTGCTGCCTGGGAAGGGTTTCTGTAATCTTCGACGTGGTCCCCACCTCCTCGGGTAGCGCCTCGCTGCGTGCACCGGACATGCTTCCGGGGAAGGGTCCTGGCTTCCATGACGGCCCAGGAGGCCCCAAGCAAAAATCCTTCATGCTTCTTGAGGATCTTGGCGTTCTCGCCTTTTCGGCGTCCCGACGCTTCCAGACGGCCCTCGAGGCCCCCAAGACCGCCCAAAAACGGCCCAAGAGGCTTCCAAGAGGGCCCATAAACGGCCCAAGAGGGCGCCAAGACGGCCCAAGAGGCGCCCAAGACGGCCTGAGATGGCCTCAAGATGGCCCAAGACGGCCGAAGAGGCCCCCCAAGAGGCCTCCAAGAGGTCCTCCAGAGGGGGCCAATGAGGCCAAAATGATTGATTTTCCTGAGGTGTTTGAAAGATTTTGGCATTTGCTTCTTTTCGGCCTCCCGACGGCTCAAGACGGCCCAAGAGGCCCCACGATCGCCCCAAGATCGCCCACGAGGTCTCCAAGATGGCCCCATGACGGCCCAAGAGGCCCCCAAGACGGCCCCAAGAGGGCGCTAAGACGGCACAAGAGGCCTCCAAGACGCCCAAGATGGCTTCCAAGACGGCCAAGATGGCCCCATGATGCCTCCAACACGGCCCAAGATGCACCCAAGACGGCCTGAGATGGCCTCCAGATGGCCTAAGACGGCACAAGAGGCCCCCAAGAGGCCTCCAAGACGGCTCAAGAGACCTCCAAGAGGTCCTCCAGGAGGGCCCGAAGAGGCTACAATCATTGATTGTCCTCAGGTTTTTGAAAGAGTTTGGCATTTGCTTCTTTTCGGCATTCCGACGGTTCAAGACGGCCGAAGAGGCCCCCAATATCGTCCACGAGGCCCCCAAGATGGCCCCATGGCAGCCCAAGAGGCCCCCAAGACGGCCCCAAGAGGGCCCAAGGGGCCTCCAAGACAGCCAAAATGGCCTCCAAGACGGCTAAGATGGCCCCAAGATGCCTCCAAGAAGGCCCAAGATGCACCCAAGACGGCCTGAGATGGCCTCAAGATGGCCCAAGACGGCCCAAGAGGCCCCCAAGAGGCTTCCGAGACGGCCCAAAAGGCGTCCAGGAGGTGTTCCAGGAGGGCCCGAAGAGGCCGCAATGATTCATTGTCCTCAGGCTTTTGAAAGATTCTGGCAGTTGCTTCTGTTCGGCCTCCCGGCGGCTCAAGACGGCGCAAGATTCCCCCAAGATCGCCCAAGAGGCCTCCAAGATGGCCCCATGACTGCCCAAAAGGCTCCCAAGACGGCCCCAAGAGGGCCCCCAAACGGCCCAAGAGGCCCCCAAGACGCCCAAGATGGCCTCTAAGAGCCCCTGATATGCTCCAAGAGGATCCCAAGACGACCCAGACAGGCCCCCAAGACGGCTTTCCGACGGCGTCAGACAAGCCAGGAACGCCCTCAGACGGCCAAAGAGGCCCCCAAGAAGCCCCCAAAGGCCCCCCACCCCTCCCCCCACCTCCTCTCCCCTGGACCTGGACAGGGCCGGTCGCGAGCGATCAGGGCGTCCAAAATGGCCTCGGCGAGGAAGCCAAAATCATTGGTTTTACTATTGTTTTGGCCCCAATTTGGCCTCTTTGGGGGGGGGGGGGGGGGGCGCTAACTGAAGCTCCCCTCTTCTTCGATCGATGTACTCCAAGATGGCCCCAAGAAGCGCCCAGGAGGCCCCAAGAGGCCACAATATGGCCCCAAAATGGCCGCAAGAGGCCCTCAAGAGGGCCCCAGGAGGCCCCCAACAAGAGGACCCCAAGCGGCCCCAAAAAGGCCCCCGCGAGGCACCCAAGACGCCCAAGAGCCCCCCAGGACCGCCAAGAGACCCCCAAGACGCCCCAAGAGGCCACCAAGAAGCGCCCAAGAGATATCCCAAGAGGCCCCGAAAGACATCCCAGAGACCTCTGGCCATTTTGCTTACCCTCCTCCTCCTGCTCCTCCTCCCTCCTCCTCCTCCTCCTCCTCCTCCTCCTCCTCCTCCTCCTCTTCCTCCTCCTCACCATCATCATCATCATCATCAGCATCATCATCATCATCATCATCATCATCATCATCATCATCATCATCATCATCATATTCAACCTCTTTCTCCCCACTCCCTCATCCACCCATCCAACCTCATCCTTCTCCTCCTCCTTCCTTCGCACGGTTCGGCCGTCCCCCTCTTTGCTCCCGCACTTTCCTGATCACCCCAACTCGCCTGGACGACATCGTCTCTGGATGGGTTAGTGGGGATACTTTTTGGCCAGCGGCCTCATGAAGCGGGTCAAATGGCGTCCACATTCTAGCCGGGCCACGACTAGGCAGCATAAACGTGGAAAGCGGGAAAGCAAGACAGGCGCAGAAAGGGGCCAGCGAAGCGAGCGCGCGGGCTGCCACTCAGAAGTGCACCAGGAGCGGCACTCCCACCCCGGTGGCGTGGAAATCCCGGTGGCGACCAACAAGTAGGCGCAGCCAAAATGGAGCGGCGGCGCGACCATGCTGGTAAGGATACTTTTTAGTCAGCGGCCGCGGGCGAGCGCGCCGGCGGCGAGTCAGGTCAAAGCGGGTTACGCAGAGACTAATTAGGCAGAGGAAACGCGAGAAACTTAAAGCAGAGGCGACGCGCGAGGCAACAGCTACGCGCCGGCCGAGGCCTCACGCAGCGGCCCAACGGCAACAGGACGGCGGAAGGGGTTGAAACTGAGAAGTACTGCCAGTGTGCAAACATGCAGAACGTCGGAACGTCAAAATCGGTAAGAAACACGACCAGGGACAGAACCGTGAAATTAGGGCACTGGCACAATGCGGGCAACTGCGAAAGTACACTGGTGGGGATACTTTTTGGTCGGCGGCTCCCATACGAAGGTCAAGAAGCGGGGCAACGTTCGGGGCGCGGAACGAAGATAATTGGCCGCAGAGGCGTATGCACATGCAAGGGACAATATGACCCTCATTAAGACGCCAGTGGCGTCGGCAGGTGACCGGCACAGACATCCCAGCGGGTGGGGACGCCAAGGCGCGGCGACCGGCGGCGGAACGGCGAAGAGAAGTCACCCTTTCGGCGCCAAGCTCCAGCCGCACCACAAAGGAAGGGGGCACTGGTGGGGATACGCGAAGCGTCTAGAATTCAACCTCCTAAGAGTTGCGCCCGAACTGGGGAATCCCAAGGGGCATCGATACAGCGACTCCCCTGACCTCTGCCGGGCTGCGTTCTGACCAGGACTTCGATGTGAACCCAGCGGTGGCGACGAGGGCCTCCCAGGAGGCTCCAAGAAGGGCAACATAAGGGACATGTAGCAGTGTCGGTTGTCGGTACCTCTTCCTCTTCAGAGCCTCAGCTCGCCCCCCTCCTGGCGGGTGCGCGCGGCGAGAGACTGGCGCGTTCGCTCTGCGGACAGGGCTGAGAACAGGAACCAACTAGTTAGGTAGCAGTATGGGTACCTCTTCCTCCTCCTCCTCCTCCTCCTCCTTCTCCTCCTCCACCTCCTCCTTCTCCTCCTTCTCCTCCTTCTCCTCCTTCTCATCCTTCTCCTCCCTCCTCCCTCCTCCCTCCTCCCTCCTCTCTCGCCGCCTCCTCCCTCCCTCCTCCTCCTCCTCCCTCCTCCTCCTCCTCCTCCTCCTCCTCCTCCTCCTCCTCCTCCTCCTCCTCCTCCTCCTCCTCCTCCTCCTCCTCCCCCTCTGACTGATCTCGTGGAGCATCGGCGGGACGAATCGGCGGCCCTCCACGGCGGCCGCGGCCCCGCGGACCGCCCGCCCGCCGCGGCGGTCCTCTCGGAGGGCCGCCGCCGCCGCGGCGATCGTCGCCCGAGGAGCGCCGCGGGGCCGGCCGCTCGGGCGACGCCGGCCGCTCGGGCGCCGCCTGGGGGGGTGGGCCCGGTCGCCGGGGGCCCTCCGCTCTCGCTGGGGGCAGGAAGCGTGCCACCACCGTCCCTATAGACCCCCTCGAGCAGTGACAAAATCACGACGGGGGGGATTTCGCCACGCTCGGCCCCCACGGGGGCCCTCTGCCGGGCCTCGGGGCCGCCAACAAGCGGCCCGGGGTGAGAAACCGGTCCCGGGGCCTCGGGGGGTCGACGCAATGAAAAAATCATGACGTCGGGGGTCTGGGTCTGGGGGATCCAGGATGCGAGCTGAGATGAGGGATGCAGATGTGCATGATGTATCGCGAGAGCGCACGAAACGATGTACACCACCACCACCCCTGACCACCCTCTGCCTCACTCCTCCAGGTGGTGACGGTGGTGGTGGTGCGTCTTATCCTCCCTATCTTTCCCGGATCGCCGACGATTGTCGCCACTCTTCGGATGCGCGCAAGAGCAAGCAGGGAGGCCATGCATCCTGAAGGACGCGTGGGCTGGTCGGCAAGGATGTTCATGATTGCAGCCGCGACTCGCTGTGAATCCGCTGGCCCCCTTGTGGGGTCACCAGGCTGCAGGCCCAAGGTTTGCAGTTCCCTGTGCCAGTTGCAGCTTCCAGTTTCCATCGTTACAGTTCTGCTTCTTGCTGCTTGCTGTTCCTTGTTTCATTTCTGCTTTTTGCTGCTTACTGTTCCTTGTTGATGGACCGCGCGAGGGGGGAGGCCCGAAACGGGCATTTTTACCACGCCCTGAGCGTGTGCTCTGAATTGCTGGGGTGGGTAAGAGTTGACACCCCTCATGCAGATCGGCGGGGTCAGGGTGCAAAAGCACTCAGGATTTGCCACATTTCTGGAATTTGGTGGCACCCCTCACGCGGATCGGCGGGGTCAGGCTCCAAAAACAATAGAATTTGCTACATTTCTGACATTCGGTGGCACCCGTGACGCAGATCGGCGGGGTCAGGGTGCAAAAACATTGAGATTTGCCACATTTCTGACATTCGGTGGCACCCCTCACGCAGATCGGCGGGGTCAGGGTGCAAAAACACGCGGGATTTGCCGCATGTTTTACATTCGGTGGCCCCCCTGACGCAGATCGGCGGGGTCAGGGTGCAAAAACATATTGGATTTGCTACATTTCTGGAATTTGGTGGCACCCCTCACGCAGATCGGCGGGGTCAGAATCCAAAAACAATAGGATTTGCCACATTTCTGACATTCGGTGGCACCCCTCACGCAGATCGGCAGGGTCAGGATCCTAAAACATATGGAATTTGCCACATTTCTGAAATTCGGCGGCACCTCTCACACAGATCGGCAGGGTCAGGGCCCCAAAACACAGGGGATTTGCCACATTTCTAAAATTTGCTGGCACCCCTCATGCAGATCCGTAGGGTCAGCGTCCAAAAACATAGCGGATTTGCAACATTTCTGAAATTCGCTGGCACCCGTGACGCAGATTTGTAGGGTCAGGGTCGAAAAACAAACAGGTCCCGACACTGCTTCACGGCGGCGCCCAGACCTCATGATATAGCTTTTGCATCTCCCATTATCCGAGACAGGGGGCTGGCGGCATGGGGCGAAGCCCTTACGGATAATTGAACGCAGTCGACCAAAATTAAACAGTCGGCGCTAACGCGGGTTGGACGAAACGGCCTGGGAAGAGGAACGGGAGGAGGAGGAGGAGGAGGAGGAGGAGGAGGAGGAGGAGGAGGAGGAAGAGGAGGAGGAGGAGGAGAAGGAAGAGGAGGAGGAGGAGTGCCGGCCGGTTTTTCGCATTTTTGTTGGCCTTCGGAAGTCGTTACGGCCCTGGGACCGTCAGAAACGACTCGGGGTGAAGAACTGGCCCGGGGGAGCAGGCTGCGATCCCCAAGGGCCGCCGACACAACAGAACTGCGACTTCGGAGGTGAGGGCCCCTGCTTGCAGGACTGCCGCTACTCGCCCCGCCCACGCGCCACCGCGCATGTTTTCTCACACGGGGAAGGCTGCCGTTGGCTGCCTTCGTCGGAGGCGAGCCTGGGGGGGAAATGAGAAGGGGCGGGCCTTCTCAGAAAGCTCGGATGTCCCCTGGCCTTCTGGAAATTTCTGAAGCCATCCCCGAAGACACGGGAACCCTCTCAGAAGGCGCGAGGGCTTCTGAGAAGTCCCGCCGCCTTCTGAGGAGGCATTCCACTTCTCACTCCCCCCTCCCCGCTCGCCGCCGGCCTCTGGATGGTGCTGCCCATGTCCAACACCGTCACGTCAGAGATGCGACCGTGGTTCGCCTTCCTCGCACGGTTCACGAGGGGGTGGCAGCCGCTGCTCGCCCTTCTCGCACCCTTAGCAGTCGCGCGGTTAGCGCTGGCACTGCCAACTCCTCTCGCGTGGCCAACGCTGCCGCTGCTCGCCCTCCTCGCCCGTCCGCTGCCCCAAGAGGCGAGGACTCCCGCCGAACACCCTTCGTGGCGAGGGGGGGCTGAAGCTGCTCGCTCTTCTCGCACGAAGCCTGTCGTGGAGCTGTCGCTGCCACTGCCCGCCCTTGCCACAACACATCAGGAAGGCGGCCACCGATCGCCTTCCTCGCAGTTCCCAGCACGAGGCAGAAGCGGCCACTGCCAACCCCTCTCGCAGGCTGCAGGCTCCCGCTGCCCTCCCGTCATGCCCGGTCCAGGCTGTCACAAGCCACCTGCCGCGCAAAGGGTGTTCTGCCACTGCTCGCGATCTCCGTGCGCCACAAAATCCGCACACGGGCGCGCTGCCACCGCCCACCACTCCCACACGCTACACGGCACGGGCCGTCGCCGCGCGTCCTGGTCGGTCGTCGGCCACGTCAGGGCAGCACGGGTGTCCCCACCACGGCTTCGAGGGCACCGTGCGCCAGCCGTTGCTGTCGCCTGCCGGCGCTCCAAGGCCAGCTGGCCGCGGGTTGTCAGCGGCAGCATCCGCGTGGCTCTTCGCTTGCTCCTGCTGGGCGCCACTTTTTGGGATGCCACTCTCCCTGAAGGGGAATTTTCACGAACGCAAGCATGTGCTGCCCCATGCGGGGTGCACATTACAGTTCGTCCAGATCTGGGGATTCTTGGCCATGGCCTGCTTGGCGGCTTTGCAACGTCACGCATGCCGAGTCGGATCATGGCTATTCGTTTGAATTGTTCGCCGCGGTTGTCCGCGAAATCGCGCAGATGGACGCGATGCCCCCCATCCCGTCTTCTCTTCCTTCTGCCCTCGCTCCTGCTTCTCATGCCCTCGCCTTCTTTTTCTCCCCCCCGCCAGCGCAGACACGGCAGGCCTGCTGCCAAGCTGCGACTGTTGACGCCAACGTAGATACGAGGGAGGAGGGAGGAGGGAGGAGGGAGGAGGGAGGAGGGAGGAGGAGGAGGAGGAGGAGGAGGAGGAGGAGGAGGAGGAACCATACAGTCATCGCAGAGTCATCGAGCTTCCGTGGGGAACGCCGAATAGAAGGAACGAGCTTGCTCTTTCTGGCCACAGCGAGCCTCCGCCACGAGGAGGCTCCAAGACCTGAAAATCTCAATCACGGGCCGAAAACCAAAACCCCTCCTCCTCCTCCTCCTCCTCCTCCTCCTCCTCCTCCTCCTCCTCCCCCCCATCCTCCTCCTCCTCCTCCTCCTTCTCCTCCTCCCCCTCCTCCTTCTCCTCCTCCTCCGCCTCCTCCTGACCTCAAGGTGGTCCCAGTTTCAGCGTCTTGACTGAACCACTATCCACTCCCATGTGGTACCCCTCCCACCGAGTGTGGGACTGGCGCTGGCGCCACGGGTTGCGGGAACTCCGTCATCCGCGTCACCCGCAGGTAGACGTTGACCCAGTCATCCTCGCTTGCACACGGCGCCCAGCGGGGATACGACCGAGCTGGTGGCGCTGACGACGGCATGGTGGCAGCAGCGAGGATGACGGCGACGACCAGAACGCCGAGAAGAGCGACAGCGACGAAGGCGGCGTCGAGGACAAGTGCTGAAAGAAGATGTTTGTCGAGACTTGCACAGATAAACAGACGAACAAAAACATGATCGACCCACGAACCCGGAAAGGAATATAGAAACGCAACGCATGGCAACGTTTTCAAAGACACCTGATTGGGTGACGGGCAATTGCAGTGCTGAGTGTATCGATCTTGATGTACCGTGCCGAGGGCTGTGCTGTGCTGCGCCGTGCTGAATTGCGATGTGCCATGCCGCGATTGTGCTCTATAGCGTTGTGGATCGAGCCCTCCTTTATATCCGAGTCCTGACCGAACTGATCTGGATCTTAAGCTCGAGCTGCCTGAACACATCGTAGCTGCCCCAAAGCTAATCCCACCAGCCCTTTGGGCGTGAGTGGTTTAGAGAGCTCTCTCTGTCCTCAACCCCCCTTATTCCCCTTCGGGGAGGGGTTTACCCCTCCCCCTACCCCCTCCCCCTGGGCCTGGAGAGGGCGGGCCGAGTGGTGGCAAGGGGGTCGGTTTCGACTCCTTGGAGGGCTAAAAAATGACGACCCTCACGAGGATTCTGGCCCCGACAGGGGGGACGCAGTTTGGCCCCTCTGCTCTTCTTGGAAGCCAAAACCATTGATTTTACTACGGTTTTGCCCCATTTTGGCCTTCTGAGGGGGCCGCGCTCATCGTCCTTCATAGCAAAATCATTGATTTTACAGGAAGGTTTCGGGCTCATGTTGTCCTTCTCTGGGGGCAGCGCTCATTTGCGCTTCTGAGGGGGTCGCAAGAAGCCCCAAGATGGCCCCAAGAGGCCCCCAGGAGGCCCCCAAGAGGCCTCCAAGAGGCCCCCAAGAGGCCCCCAAGAGGCCCCAAGCGGCCCCCAAGAGGCCCCCAAGAGGCCCCCAAGAGGCCCCAAGAGGCCCCAAGAGGCCCCCAAGAGGCCCCCAAGAGGCCCCCAAGAGGCCCCCAAGAGGCCCCAAGAGGCTCCAAGAGGCCCCCAAGAGGCCCCACGAGGAGCCCGAACGACTCACACCAGGACGAGGGGCCCGAACGACTCACACCACGAAGAGCCCGAACGACTCACACCACAAGGAGGGGCCCGAACGACTCACACCAGGACGAGGCGCCCGAACGACTCACACCACGAGGAGCCCGAACGACTCACACCACGACGCGGGCCCCGAACGACTCACACCACGAGGAGCCCGAACGAGTCACACCAGGAGGAGGGGCCCGAACGACTCACACCAGGACGAGGGGCCCGAACAACTCACACCACGAGAAGCCCGAACGACTCACACCAGGACGAAGAGCCCGAACGACTCACACCACGAAGAGCCCGAACGACTCACACCAGGAAGAAGGGCCCGAACGACTCACACCAGGACGAGAAACCCCAAACAACTCAAATCACGAGGAGCGCTTTCTCTCCCTCCTCCTCCGCCTCGTCCTTCTCCCGAGCCCCCCACAAGGAGGATGTACAAGGAGGCGGGAGGAAGGAGGAACAGGGGAAATATGCGGAGCCCAGCGGACACACGCCTGAAAAACACAACTGTCGGCATGCTTCGCGAGAGTTGCTGCTGTGAGATGGGCTGGTGGGGATACGCGAAGCGTAAAGAATTGACAAGGGGACATGCCAGGAGGACGCGCCGCGGAACGTCCCAAGGGACGCGCCAGGCGACGTGCCAGGGGACGTGCCATGGGGTCGCACCGCGGGACGTGCCAAAGGGACGCGCTACGGAACGTGCCAATGGATGTGCCATGGGATGTGCCAGGGGACGCGCCACGCGACGTGCCAGGGGGACTCGCCAAGGGACGCCCCACGGAATGTGCCAAGGAACATGCCAAATTGCAATGCTGAATGTATCGATCTTGATGTACCGTGCCGAAATCTGTGCTGTGCTGCGCCGTGCTGAATTGCGATGTGCCATGCCGCGATTGTGCTCTATAGCCTCGTGGATCGAGTCCTCCTTTGCATCCGAGTCCTGACCGAACTGATCTGGATCTTAAGCTCGAGATGCCTGAACACATGGTAGCTGCCCCAGAGCTAATTGACAGGGGGACATGCCAGGAGGACGCGACGCATAACGTCTCAAGGGACGCGCCAAGCGACGTGCCAGGGGACGTGCCATGGGGACGCACCGCGGGACGTGCCAAGGGGACGCGCTACGGAACGTGCTGGGGACAAGCGTTTCGCTCGAGACATCCTGCCTAAATCCCCAAAATTCATGCGCGCGGGACGCGAACAAATTATAAGAAACAAGCGTTTCGCTCGAGACATCCTGCCAAAATCTAAAGAGATCCGGGCAACACAAGCGAATTAGTGAGACATCCTCCAAGTTCCTGCGCGCGGGACGCGGCACGCGCGAGACATCCTTGGAATTCCTGCGAGCGGGACGTGAACACGAGCATTTCGCCTGAGGCATCCTCTGAATTCTGGCCCCCCACGAGGCCCCCGCTCGAGACACCCCCCAATTTTGCAAAACCAGCGTTGTTTCGCATGAGACATCCTCAACAAATTATGAAAAACAAGCATTTCGCTCGAGACATCCTGCCAAAATTCAAAGAACTCCTAAACAAACAAGCGAATTAGTCGAGACATCCTCGAAATTCCTGCGCGCGGGACGCGGCACTCGCGAGACATCCTCTGAATTCCTGCGCGCGGGGCGCTTTTCCGCGTCGCGGTCGGGGCTCCAGACCTCGGTTTTTGTTCGAGGATTCTGCAAAAAGTGCCCCGCACCCTTTTTTACTAAGGAAAACGGTGGTCCGCAGACCCCGTTATTTATCGAGGATCCGAGATGGGGGGTCGACTTTCCTCGAGCGGGCACGCGCGAAATGCATTTGTTTCACGCCGAATTGGGCTTTACCTCGTTATTTTTATCGAGCGGAATTCCGCCGGCCCACCTCCCGCATGGCACCGGGGACAGATCACCATCCTAAAAGAGAACCCTGGGCCGGCGCCCTTTCCGGGAATATACCGATGAGGCGACATGACAGACTTGACGGGCGGGGCAGGCAGCACGAGGGGGCAGACACGACTTCTTAAACTGAGGTCACCACGACCGTCCACTCGAATACTGCACGTGACAAGTGCGACCGAGCTCCTGTGACTGAGGAGTGCGGGTCCTGCAGGGGAAGGGAAGGGCGAGGAGTGGGTAGCGGTATCCGTCGACTTCCTCCTTTGACTGAGGTCACCCCATGTTGGGGTGGCATGGGCGGGCCTCTCCTAACCCTTGTTGGCGCGGTTGGTGTTCCGAGCGCCGATCCCTCCGCAACTGCCAGCAGCCAGACCCCGCCGACAGCAGGCAGCGGCTACTGCATTTTTCATGACAGAAGTTCTTCGCAACAGCTGCTGGCTTGCTAGGCTAGGCGGGATGTCGAGAGCACACCTCCCTCGGCATCATGTCGCGCACTTTGGACGCCCTTGAAGACGCGTAAAGCAAGCAGAAGCCGCCTGGCATAGCCGAGCATCCGGGAAGCGCCGCCTGCGGCGAGCAACGCGCTGTCCCTGAGCAGCGAGTCTCTGCGCAGCGGCCCTCCCCCCAGGGGGCCCGCGGTCACCCGTGCGCCATCGGGCCCGGGTCAATCCAGACCCTGGTCAGTCAGGCCTGGCAGAATCCTGCAAGATCCTGCACCCAAACCCGGGTCCATGCGAAAGATCCTGCAAGATCCTGCAGGGTCCTGCACCCAAACCCGGGTCAATGCGGCCCTGGCCCTGCATGATCCTTCAAGATCGCTCGCTCTGGCTGACACCCGTTTGCAATGACCCCCGTCTCAAGGCCCCCGACGCCAGCTCGGTCTTCTACCACCGGGTTTTGACGCAAGCTGGCCGTTGCACGCTGCCCCTGGGAAGCGGATCCCCGCGGAGCGGCCCTCGGTATTCGGGAGCCCGCTGTCATCTGCGGCTCACGCATGGCCTTTCATCCGTTGGTCATCTTTCACGCCGCCCGCGCCTGGCAACTCCCAACCCTCGCCGGACAGGGAAGTCTTTCGCCAGCGGCTCCGCTTATTTCGGCACCGCCGCTCGGTCCTGGGCCAGCGCGCGAGCTTTTCGTGTCAGCGAAGGCCCCCTCCCCTCCCAGCAACCCATGCGGGTTGGCAGCAGCTGTTTAGCTCTGGCGATTTGGCTGTAGGAGCTAGGTCGACTCCTGCGTGCTACAGCAGGTGACGCCCCCGCGCAAGTTGGGATACTGGGCCGCTCGTTGCCCGTTGGGGGGAGGAAGAAGCGGGGACCACTACTGAACGCGGAAACGTCGTGTCGATCTTGGTCACCGTCGATCTTGGTCGGCGTCAATTCGTGGACCATGCTCGCGAGTCGGCGACGGCCGACACGGACCATGACCAAGATCGGCATCGACATGGGCCATGGCCATGGACATGGACATCTTGGTCATGGTGCCCGTTTGTTTTTTTACCTCGGAACCAAAGGGTACCCATACCGCTACTCCTGGACCTCTCCCGGGGTGCGTTCTGATCAGGATTGCGAGGCGAATCCAGCGGTGGCGACGAGGGCCTCCCAGGAGGCCCAACGAACGGAAAACGCTGGAAATGTAGCGGTATGGGTACTGAGTTCTCCTATTGCTGTTGTTGTTGTTGTTGCTGCTGTTGTTGTTGTTGCTGTTGTTGCTGTTGTTGTTGCTGTTGGTGGTGTTGTTGGTGGTGTCGTTGCTGTTGCTGTTGCTGTTGTTGTTGTTGTTGTTGTTGGTGTTGTTGTTGTTATTGTTGTTATGTTACTCATCTCTCTCCCTTTCTCTCCCTCTCCCTCTCTTTCTCTCTTGAGCCTCGTGTCCCCGTCATGCCGCCCTGCAAAGCCCCAAACGGCAGGTGTGGAAACAGGGAACAGAAGACTGCCAGCCACGGCGCCTCATTGCCCACCCGTAGCGCAGACCCCCAAACACGTT